AGCAGTTGCCAATTTTTGAACGAGCACTTTTTTTGGAACAAACTGTAGGCAAAGCGAAGCTTCGCCTACAGTTTGTTCCAAAAAAGTGCTCGTTCAAAAATTGGCAACTGCTCGCACTCGTTACGAAGTATACTATTTCATTATTATAATATTATTATTACAAAAAAATAATAATATTAACAATTATTACGTAATATCTTTTAAACGATAGTTTTCTTCTAAATTAGAAAGAAAATTTTTTTTTTAGAAATTATTTTCCAACTCTTCTATTTAATAATATATTACATATTCATAATTTTTTTTCTTAAACAAAAAGTGGATAGACAGTCAATAAAAATTTATTAAAACTTTTAATTGTTCAAAAAATAAAATTGCACACTTGTTCTAATTATAATTAATTTAATGATCATTTAATAATTAAAATTATCAATTCAGCAACTATTGAATAATTATTATTAATTCAGTAATTATTATTATTAATTTAGTAATTATTCAATAATTATTATTAATTTAATAATTGTGACATAATTATTGTTATTAATTCAATACTTACTCAAAATAATATTAATTTAATTTTTTTTAGTTTTTTAATTATTCAATTATTAATATTATTAATTTAAAAATTATGGAATAATTAATCATTATAATTAATTTAGTAATTATTTAATAATAATTAATATAAATTTAATAATTATATTAATTACTAGATAATTAGGTTTTATTAGTTTAATAATTAATTAATATCATCAATTATAATGATAAATTCTGTTTCGTTTTTAAATCAGTTTCATTAACTTTTTAAATCGACTGTCTATCCAATTTCCAGTTAACTGTTTTTATTTTTTAATCTTTAAATGAAAATATTCTAATATATAAATAATTTCTATTCTATTTTTTGTCCAAAAAAATATTATCTAATTTATAAAAATTTTTTTTTTTCTTGAAAAATTCATTTTTCTTTTTCTTGTAAAATTCTATTTTATCAGACGAAAAAAAAGTTAATTTTTAAAAATGTAACAATTTTTTTTGTCTTGTAAATTTCTTTAAAAAAAATAAAAAAAAATTGAAGAGTCACTGTTAGATAAAATAAGCTTAATGATTTAACTATTGCTTTTCATCCGGCCATCGGTCGTCAAGAGACGATTCGAGAACTTAATTAAGTGCATTGCAATGGCGTAACCATTTTTTTAAAAGAAGAAAACTTATCTCAGCCACTTAAGGAGCATTCAGACCTCTGCAGACTGCCTGCCTGCGCAGGCAGGAGCAATAAGAGTAAGAGAGAAAGTGCATTAAATTTGAATTCACTGACTCTCTTACTCCTATTGCTCCTGCCTGCGCAGGCAGGTAGCCTGCAGAGGTCTGAACGCTCCATTATTTGCATATTTACTATGGGCGCATTATTTACAAAAGATAGATATATATGTACACATATATATTTTTTTAGTATACTTTTTTATATTTATATGTACATATATATCGCATTGGAATGTTTATATATACGTATTTATGTTTATCGTGTGCAAAAAAGAATTTTATTTTGCACGAAAAATGACGTCGATACATTTAAGGTCGTGTTTTAATTTTTAGGTTACGTTCTAAGCGTTCGCGAACCAAATGCATGAGAAAGAAAAGGATAAATATATATTTGTGTTTTTTTCCAACTCATGCATCACGAATCTATTGTTGATAGGGCTTTAAGTTCACGACCCTAGTGAGCTGTAAGGTTAAGTCCACAATGGAGACATTTATGTTAAAGATCAAGTTGTGCGTTGACCTTTAAGTTACATGAGAGAGAGAGAGAAAAGGGTAGACGTATCGTTTGCCTTTTTTAGAAAAGGACAATAGAGGCCGAGGCAGGGTTGCGCAGTTACGCGTAACTCAGAGTTTTTGACGTAATATACGTCAATAACGTAATATACGTAAAAATCGTATAAAATGTATGAAGTCCAACGCACAATAGGTTCGCGAAAGTCGTTCGCGAACGAGACACATGAGATAGACAAGGACACAAATATATCTCTGTCCTTTTCTAACTCATGCTTTGCGTTCGCGAACGACTTTCGCGAACCTATTGTACTTAGGCCTTGAAACTAAACCAAGATGGCGGATTGAAATGAAAAATTAGAAAACACTACGAACATAACCTTCACAATTACTTGTTTACAGATTACAAATTAATAATTATTATCTTATTCTGTTTGGTTGATGAGTGAATTGACGAATTCTAAAAAGGAGGAGAAATTCCATGGAAGGATTTAAAGTTTGTACGACAGAAAGTTGGATCAAAACATGTAAAATTACAACGTTAGACGTCGCTTTATTCCAAATTGTTTGCTTTCAAACTACGTTCAACATTGTCAATTCACATAAATCCTTGTAACCTTACAATTCATTAGTAAATTCTCAAAAAATCTTTTTTTAGAGAGTATGAGACACGTGGATACAAATCACTACAAAGGTTATGTTTACATATGTCAGAATTTGACGCCATATTGAAAAGGTAAATTACTTTCTGTAGAAAACTATTGACGTATATTACGTACGTAAAATACGTATAAAACTCTATGTAATTTACGTGGCGTATATTACGTGCGCAACCCTGGCTCCGAGGCGTAATAGTTCCCGCTAGACGTCGCTATGCGCTACTCTGCTTGTCGCCTTTGAGTTGTTTCGAATCTGGTTCTGAGACGCCCCGAATTCAGTCAAACGTTGTTCTCGCATGTGAGAGAATAACTGGTGGCAAAAATTAAAAGTTCTGCGTAATCTCGCTTCAGGACGTTCCACGTTTCGCATCAGGACTTGAGACGTTCCGATTCGAGGGTTCACATAAAAATATTCAAAAGTACCACTCAAGGCTCGCATGGGACGTATTAAGGCGCTAGCACAGCTCCTACTGCCTGCCTGCTTGCCTGTCTGCAGGTTGTCATGGTAATGCATGAGAGTAAGAGAGTCACAAAATTCAAATTAAATGTTTTTTCTCTTTCACTCTCATTGCGCCTGCCTGCGCAGGCAGGCAGTGAGAGTGTACCTTTAGTTCCCGGACTTCTCTCAGTGTACTTCTTTCATTTCCTGTCTCTCATGCAAAAATTACGATACTCTATTTATAGTTCTAATTTTTTTTGGGCGAATTGCAGAAATCCCCATTGTGAACGCAGCATAAGAATCAAATGTATCAACGTGCCTTTTGATTTCTCGCAATTATATTGGGATCTGAAATCACGTGAAACTGACCCACCCCTTAGCCTTTTTGTGGCAACCATCTTGGATTTTATCTTTTTCTTGAACGTATATCCATGGAGTATAGACTTAAGGAGACCAATCTTATATGCATGTACTTCACTGAAAGGCGCAACATTTTGTCGGAAGTATACATCAGTAGTACGTGTACATCCTGTAGATGGCAAACGATCGCATATATAGTCGCTTGATTAAGTCCTAACCGTCCTAACCTTATTTTTGCTGTATTTTGAAATTAAAAATAATTTCAAATAATACATAGGTAATATAAAATTATGACAATGAATTTTATTTTCATAAATAATAACATTCTTCGAAAACATTCAATTATTTTTAATACAATTTTTATAAAACTTCACTAAAGGATTCAATTTAAAAAAAACAAAGAAATTCTTCAAAAAATTTAATTATTTATAAAAGTTATAATAAAATTGATTAAAAGAGTTTAATGTTCTATCAATAATTTTAATAAAGTTTTAATAGGCACGTGGCCACTGAATAACATGACCTTTATAGTAAAATTAATTATTACTATAATTTGAGGTTATTAACATAACCTCAAACTAAAAAGTGATCTAACAATTATGACAAATAGTAGCTCATTCTGTTCTTTAAAACATTCTTTACAATTACATTTGTTAAATTTTGTTTAAAATATTTTGTTCAATAGTTGAGCAAATAAAATAAAAAAAAATTTTTTAAATAACTTTTGAACAAAATATTTTAAACAAAATTCAACGAGTGGAAATGTAGAGAATGTTTCAAAGAGTAGAATGAGCTATTATTTATCAAAATTGGTTACTGACCCTTAAAGAAAAAACACATAATGTTTAACAATTATGATTTTACATCAAATTTTGGTCCAACCTAATTTTTCCTGATAATTGTACAACTGGATCTTTCATAATTTGGTGAAATCATTTTATTTATGGTTTTATTTGCTGTTAAAAATCACTTTTTAGTTTGAGGTTATGTCAAGCGATCGACACTCCTGAATCAAAAAAATCTGTAAAAAGCACATTTTTTCACAAAAAAGTCGCACAATCCGAGCCCTGTAATATAAACTTTGTATTGTTATCTTATTATTATTATATTTATATTTATAATTTGAATATATAGTATATACATGAATTAGTAAACTTATAGAAATCCATGTTCATTTTAAAACTTCAGCTATCTATGCGATCGTTGCGCGCTATACGAGAAGATTCAGAACCATGAACTTCCGACATAAAATGGTTGATTTCATACACACTACATTGGTCTCCTTAAGTCTATACTCCCTGCGTATATCAGAAAGAGACGAAACGAAAGATGGCTACCACAACAAGGCTCTCACTAGATGGCGTATCGTAGTATTTCAGATCCCAATATTAATTATAAATTGACACACATTCTTCCCTAATATCGACAATAAAGATGTGTCTCGATTCACGAAACACTTTGATTCGAGTTTCTTTTAATGACTAAAAAATGAAGAACTAGCACCAACCGTTCGGGGGAGACATTTTTTGTTTCTTTGTTTATAAAATTCTAAAATTGAAAATAAGGAAAATATCGGCCCTTTTTAAGAATTATTCTGATGCATCTTCGAGTTTTTTTTCTTTCATTGATTGACAAAAATTGGTCGTTGTCAAGGTTTTAAACTATGGCACTGAGATTAGCAACAATGGTCCTTAGATTATATAAGCGAATTTGGTCCATTATGTGACGAAATTCGTTTCGTTGGTAATAATCGGAGATCACATTATTAGTTTTTTTTGTTTTACTGTATATTTAGTCATAAAATTATTTTTTGTCTATATTGAACCATCGATTAAATTTAGTCTAAATCTTCTTTCGAACTCGGTGGAATCGACAGATCGACCATCCTCGAAGACTATTAGTGACTCACCGTCTAGTCAAAATGTCGATTCGGTTTTTAGAGATGGTTCCTCTTTGAAGAGTCGAAAATTCACGACAGAACTTGCGTCGTCTTGTGATGAGATTGGTGTTAGGTCCCTGGAAAAAAATTGTAAATTTAGGAATATAATTTATATATATTTAGTCATTATTGTGTTAGGGTGGTTAGGAGTAGAATGACGTATCGAAATGTTCCAGAGGACAGGATTGACAGAATGCCCCCAATACGGTTTTCACTCGAAAACGTATTGGCAGAAACTCACCGCCAATTCTATTCGCTCACTGCCAATTCTGTCTTTTTTACTGGGCTATTTAACAGGACTTTCCGACAATATACTTCAATTGACCAAATTCATTTAAAAAAAAATTATAAACAAAAGTCAAAAGGTGGTCCGACATTGACTATAATCCCCTATATTATATTTCGAAAAAATTAATTATTTTCAAATACTTATTTTAATAAAATTGTTCGAAAGAAATCAATTAGGGTAGGGTGGAGCATTACTATTCTTGTTTGGATTTTTGAGTCTAAAAAATGAATTTTAAAAAAAATAAAAAAATGAGTAGGACCGTTTGAAAACTTGACTTCTTAGCTACAATTTTGCCATGTATTATTTTGCTGTAACTCGATTCTGTTCCGAACTACAGTGATTTTACGAATTTTTTTTTTTTTTTTTGATGTCGAAAAAAAACGAGGGGCGAAACTATTCCAGCAGCTATTAATGATATAATACTAAAAAAATATAAAAATTAATTTGCTAATTGGAGGAGTTTTTTCTCTTCCAATTTCTTACCATTCTAACCTAAAAACAAGCACACAAAAAAAAGAATACACTGTTTCGTAGTTTTTGCAGTCATCAGTGGGCGAATAGTTTCGCCCCAACTGCACATTTTTTTGAAAAAACACTTGTAAAATTTTTGAACAATAGATTATCAAAAATCCATTATGATATTCGTGTTCAGCACTAAATTTGACTTTAGAAATAATTTTTCCGACCGTTTATCACTATTTACAGTGGCAGACTAAATTAGTAAGCGAGTATATCAAAATCACATTTGAGTACCTAACTCCTATGATTGATGGCGCCAGAAGATCAAATATGGCGTACAATGTTCATCCCGGCAAGAAGGATGGTATTGAAATGGATGCCTTTTGAGTCCGTTTTCTTCCGAATACTTTTGAATGCATTAGTAGGGATTAGAAGGCATTGAAAGCAGTAAATAAAGAAACGGCATTCAATGGCATTCACAACAATCTTCTCTACAAATATTTATTGTTTTAATTCTCATAATATATTAATTTAGACATAATATCCATTCTAAAAACTGCCTAACATCTTAAGGAATATTATCCTGCCGGAAGAATGGACTGAAAAAGTATTGAAATTGTACTGGCCCCCAGTACAATGTCAGTCCGTTTTTTTTTAATGTTTCGGTAGGCATTTTTAAAGTCCTTTAACAATAGTTTCAAATGTAGGTTATGTCAACAAACCACTGTTAACAGTTTGGAAGTGAAAATAAAAAAAGGTTAACAAAATTTTCAACGAAATTCCTGTTAAATTTTAAACTTATATTGCAACCCCTGCTTTAACAATAGACCCGAAAGCCTATTGTTGTAAGGGATTATAATTTTATGGCTTAAAAAGTTTACAATTTAAATAATTCAATTTTCAAAACAAAAAAATTTGAATCTGTGATGTTTTATGATTACAAATATCTAAAATTCATTATAAAAAATGTTTTTTAAAAAAGTTATAAACTATCTCGCAAACTCTAATTGTTACGTAAAAACGGATATTATTTTTGAATTTAGATTAACATGAATATTTAGCATACATAATAATTACTTGTAAAGAATCTGAGTTCATGAAAAACAAATATAATGTTGAAATATAAATAAAAATTATTTTTAACATTAACAAAGAAATATTCGTCCTTCAACTTAATGACGGTCAAGCCATAAACATCACCGATAGCGACCCTTTTGCAGGTAATTTTTCCCAGTACAATTTCAGTGCTGAAACGCAGCAAATTTTCACTGAAATAGCACTGAGCTCTCAGTACTAATTCCCCAGTACAATTTCAGTCCATTCTTCCGGCAGGGTAATCAAATGTAAATCTAGATATTATAAAAGGTATTTTAACAGACTAACTGATTTAAAAAAATATAACCAAAAATTCAGTTTGTGACATAATCACGTGCATTGCACTTATTACTTTACCATGCGCTAATAAACCAACACATAAATTTTACAAAATAGTATAACGCTTAAGCTCACTATCAACTGAAACAAAACCGATAATTTTTATTTATTTGGACTGGTACGACTGAACATTGTTGAGTTTTGAATACACTGCACGAATAAACTACGACGCAACTGAAAGGTGACGTGGCACTAAAATTAGTAAGTTTGTAAAAAGGATTAAATGGCATTCATCTTTTAAGCACATCCTACTTGAAAAGGTATTAAAAGGGATTAAACTTTGTAGAATCACGAACAGCCTTGGTTGTCATTGGAACTGGATCGAGTCATAACCTACTAATGTCATTAAATGGGATTGAGGAAAGAAACGGAATTTATTGGCATTCAAAAGCATTGGATTGTCTGTTTTTTTCTATGCAAATTAATGCCTTTTCATACACTCCTTCTTGCCGGGATTTCACATGACAAGTATGCAGTGTAAAAGGGACTTCAATCGGATAAATATTTTTCTCTCCAGGACTATGGAATAGTTTTTCCATGCGAATAGTAATGCCCTACCCTATCATCCTACTTTGAATTCAATTTTAATTAAATCTTTTTTTTAGATTTTAATAAAATTTTTCCCTAGAATTCAAGTATTTACATAAATAATTCTTCGAAAAAATTCAATCACGTCGATAAATAACAAAATTATTCCCGAAAATTCAATCATTTTGATGCTTTTTAAAAAAAATTCTTTGCAAAATTCAATTATTTTCATAAACAATAATATTCATCACAAGAAGTCAATTATTTTTAAAAGTAATACATTTTTTCTCGGAAATTCAATTATTTTTGAAAAATTCTAGTAAAATCGTTCGCAATAATGCAATTAAAATGCAATAAATAATAAAATATAGAATGGATTTTTGGTCAGTTTTGTGAAGTTTCTAAAACATGAGTTTTTTTGGTCGTCAAGTTTAATTTTTCGATAGCTACTTTTTTACTAAAAATCAAAACAGTTTTTTTAAAAATTAATTATTGAGTGCGAAGTTTCTCTCACTCCAACGGTTGCCGAACAAGAAGCGGAGCCTAGACGCTGGCGTCTAAGCTCCGACTCTTGTTCGTCAACCGTTGGAGTGGGGCAAGGAGAGCGAGTGAGAAAGCCATAGACTTCTTTCTCACTCTCATAACCCTACTCCAACGGTTACTAAACAAGAGGCGGAGCTTCAGCACTGGACACACCGTTAGAACTCGATTGTCGATTCTTAATTCGATTGGACCCAAGACGAATGTCAAAAAAAATACCTGAGAATCATCGCCGGACTTCCGGCAGCTAGCATATGATCCTGAGGACTGAGTGGAGCAGTATTAGCGGGAGTGAGAGGACTGCTAGGACTCTCATTACTGCTTACGTAACTTCCCGGCGCATTTGGAATAGGTATCGGCGTCGTCGAGCCGTTGATCTCTGTGGTCGCACCTCCCAATAACATCTCCTGAAGCAAAACATCAATCTGAGCCACTCCAAAGAGCCTCACAAATTGTATTTGCTCAATCATTTGCCATGAGATCGACTGCAGAGCCGGCAGCGTCAGTAAAATCTCTCCAAATCTACCCCGACTGTCGTACTGACGATCACTGATGTAATCCTCCAAATTAATTTGCACCTGATAACGTAGATGTTTTATTCGTCCGGAATCGCTCAAACCTTTTGCATCTGAAAAATAGAAATGAGTTTCAAAATTGAACGGTGTCTGCTGTACGGTACGTTCTCTGTCCTAAGTTATTAGGGTAAAACTGTTAGGAACTGATACATAAAAATTTTCTTTATGAATACTTTTTCTTAAAAAAAGAGTTCTAGATTTGGAAAAGAGATAAAGAAGAATTCTTACTCGGATCGAAGAACACGATGGCTTTGAGACAAGCGAATTCCGTGTCGTCAATTTGCACCTCATTGAATGGCTTAACCAACTCCTCCATAACTCTTATTCCAACTTTACTTATGTCGAGGTCTTGATTTCTTCCCTCTGCGGAAAACGATATTACTGAGACAACACGGTTATACCGTTCGGATTCTATGAATCGACTGAGCCCGGTACGAGGAATTGGCAATTTGTTTCATTTTCTTTTTTTTGTGTATTTTATTTCTTCGTACCTCAACACCAGACCCATCAAAAGCATGCAGTTTTATTGACACAGAACATTAACGCCGGACTCAGTCAACTATCTACACCCCGACATCGTGCAAAAAATTATCGTATAGCAATCGCTGTTTGTTGACGCAGAAAGAGAAAAATTCCCCAGAAATAAGCGTATTATATTTTTCTTCAATTAAGGTCTACGCAGAATAGAATCTTTAACCGGAACCGTAAGAGTAAGAATGAGTTAAAAAGGATAAACAATATACCTATCCTTCTTTAACTCATTCTTACGCTTACGCTTACGATTGCGGTTCCGGTTAAAGATTCTATTCTGTGTAGGCCTTTATCGTTTATTAGCTTAGTAGTTTTCTTTATTAGGTTAGTTTCCTATGTCATGACTTTCTAAAATTGAATTAAGACAGCTTACTTTTGGGGAATTCAATCACAAAAGAAAAGCATGAGATAGAAAAGGAAACGACTATATGTTTATCCTTTTCTATCTCATGCTCTGTTTTACCGACCCATGACTAATGTGATAATAGATAGGAAACTCGGTGTGTAAATTAATAGCGATAAAATAGACCTTCTGAATTATTCGATTCGACCAAATAAAAATTCTTAATTAGACATTTAAAAAGAAAGAAAAAAATTCTTAATTCATTTTACAATCAAAAGTGTTGTTAAAAGGATTTGATATTAAAAGAATATTGTTTAAATATTTTTCTAATGAAAATCAGCGATTGCTACGAGTTTTAAGCTTTTCGTACTGCAGCCTAATCCATAGAACATTTCAACCATCTAAAAAAATTGTTTAATTAGTATTTCACTTCGATACGATTCTTCTTTTTTTTAGTATTTATAAATATTACTGTATTATTATTTATTATAATTGTATTATGTAAGATAATTTTTCTAGATCCAATAGGGGTCCTGGTGGAATGCGGAGTAACTAAAAAAAGTTTATCAGTAAGAGAAGGATAGATATATCTTCGTCTTTTTCTTACCAATGTGATTTTTTAGTTAGTCCACAAGCCAAAAATTATTCAAAAAAGTTTTAGCCGTCATTTTGTGCGGAATTCCATACTAATTTCAGTTCAGAATTTTCTAAAAATTTTCCAAAATTAATCCGTTAGTAATTCGCTCGAAAGTCGTACGAATTTCGTATGGAAATTTGGCAGAACATTTTTTGAAAGAAATTTTTAGCTGACATTTCATGCGGAATTCCATACGAATTTCCGAGCAGTATTTTTTATAGATTCTTCATAAATAATTCGTTAGTAATTCGCTGGAATGTCGTACGGAATTCGTTCGGAAAATTGGTCGAAAATTTTTTAAACAAATTGTCAAAATATTTTCCGTGTAAATTTCCATACGAGTTTCCGAGCGAAAAAATTTTCTTGATAATCCATATTAAAAATTCGGGTTCTATTCGCACGAATATTCATGCGAAAAAACATTTCAAAACGCCACACGAATTTTCCTAGTAATTTCATACGAATTCGATAGGATTTCTGTACGAATTTGGTCGGATTTCTGAACGAAATTTTTGTACGAATCATTTTTACCTGCACGGAAAAAAAAAGTTCCCAGATATTTCAGGAATTATTTCCTAACTCTTGGATACGTGGTAACAGCTCTGAACTAGCGACGAACATTCAATGGTAATCAATGAATGTTTGAAAGAAATTCGGGAACTGTATTAGAAAAAGCTGTAAATAGTCCAATAGACTTTTTTTCATTACTTTCTCATGTAAAGTTCATGGCACTGGCCGCAACTGTTTCTGAAATTTTCGGGAACTCGTCAAGGAATCTTGGTGCGCAGAAACCCAGTGCGCACCAGTCTCAACAAGTCTCACAGTCAGTAAGACTTGCGTGCCTTATATATTTATTTTATGCTGAGGTATTTAACGTTCCTGTTTAGCTCAGCTGGATAAGACGCCGGACTTCTATTCCTCGGGTACGCGAGTTCTGTTCCAGCCGCCGTCGATTTTTCTCTACTATGGTTTTTTCTATTTCAGAAACTTAATAAAAAATAAAAATTGTATGTGACCCTCAAGGATAAATGTGTGTGTGTGCGGACGTGTCAAGGAGGGGAAGTGGGAGGGGGGAAGCAGAATCCATTTTTTCTTGCATTCGCCTAACTTTTCGATTTTCTTGAACAGTTCCCGACTTTTTCAAGAACAGTTTGCCGAGAAGTGGTGAAATAGTTATAATTTGTAGAGAAATAGTAAATGACATATTTAAACGAGGCAACCTTTAGTTCTCTGTGAACTACCCGCCGTATCCAAGAGTTAAGAACGAAGTTCCCGAATAATCTTCGAACTTTTTTTTTCCGTGTGGGATGTTAATTTAAATTTGAGTAAATAATAATTGTTTTACAATTTCGATTTCAATTTAGAATCGCACAGAGTGAAATACTAATTTTTTTTGTTAAAAAAATACCAAAGACAGAGACCCAATAAATGTAATATTGAGAGAGGAAGGAAATGAAATAGAGGAAGAATCGAGAACAAGGCATTAGGTGTAATATCCCGAAGTGAACGATTACGTAATTGAAAGGTCAAGGTTGTGTTTTATCTAAACATGAATCGTTCGAGTATACGTTTATGGCTCTTTAATTCATTTTTTTGTATGAGAGAATCGTTCGAGTCTTTAATAGTAGCCAGAGATATGAGAAAGATAGAAAGAGAAAAAGAGATGGAGAAAGAGAGCTGGAGAAAAAAGATAGAGAAAGAGAGAGAAAGAGAATAATGCCTCGGAGGTACCAGGAACCTTGGGTCTCTCGAGTGATAGTCACATCTTCGATAATATTTGACTTTCATACACGACTTTAAATATTACAAACGTCTCTTGTTATTAGTCAATCCTTTTTTAAAAGAAACGTCCCTTATTGCACTCGAGAGCCACTTCAAGATTCTCTTCAAAATTTTTCATATTCGATAACATTCGATTTTTGTCATTTTGAAACATGGAACCTTGAAATAGATACAAATTCACAATTTGTTAATTGTATTGAATTATTAAAATAAAGCAGGCAAAAAGAAAAATAAAGATTGCTAAAGAAAAACTTTTTGGAAATATCTTATTTGTTTCGTAAAATTAAGATTTAGAAGGAAATTTACCACGTGGGATAGTAGAGGTCGAATTCGTCCCATTGGTTCGCAATATTTCCGGAAATATTACCACCCAATCGTAGACATTCAACAGATTCTGACCCAAACCTGTTTCATCTTTACTGGCATAGGCTTGTTGATAATTAAACAAATTTGTTTCAACGGATGCTGGAAAATTGGTTATGAATCCTTCGGTTTTCATGGCGATCGTTGTCATAGCAACAATACTGCTTTATGATAAAAAATAAATTGGTAGTTGTGTTCGCCATAAGGGTGTGTCCACACGCTTGCTTTTGTAACGCTTCTTAAGAAGGTTAGAAGTATTCGTAAAGGCAAGCATGTGAACACAGCTTTACACTGGTTGCTATAGTAACTTTTACCAGGGAAGCTGACGTCATAGTAACTGTTACCATAAAAACAATTGCCATAGTAACTGTTACCATGAAAACAAATACCATAGTAACTGTTACCAAGGAAACAATTACCATAGTAACTGTTACCATGGAAACAATTACTATAATAACTGTTACCAAGGAAACAATTGTCATAGTAACAGAACAAAACAGAGAAAGAATAAAAAGGAATTTGGAGAGTTTACAAAAAAAAAACAGCAAGCAATAAAGGAAAGTGTTAGTAACCAAAAAAAGCAATAATATCTGTTATTCGAGAACAAAAGTATTTAGAGAGTAAAACCTTTTAAAGGAGGTGGAGGTACGAACAAAACAAATTCCCTTTAACCAATCAGACAAAAAGGACGTGTCACCAATTGAAGTCTACCTACCAGGACAATTTTTCGTGATTATACAATTATTTCCGAGTAAAAGTACATCTTTAAGGTGCATACTGCGCCTGGCCACTCCAAGTAGAAGATGTTCTCCGGCGTGCGCCCTTAATAAAGCCACTTGATCGTCCAACGTTAACTCGAGGAATGCCGGAATGTATTTGGCCCAGTCCACCAAATTCAAAAGTTGTTGTCTCATACTCGCGCAAACGTCGTTTATATTTGCAATTTGCTTCGTACTGAGGTCAATATCGTTGCTAGGACTACTTGGCTGTCAAATGAAATAGAAAATTAAAATTATATTGTCAATATGGTAAAACTTTTTCAAATTTTGCTAAATTAGACAATTAAAAGTATATTCACTTTCAATTATTCTAATTAGTTGATTTTAATTAAAATTTAAAGTAAAACATAACCTATTTGGGAGTTTAAATTCAAAATTTAAGCCAAATGCAGAATAGAATAAGAAAGCAAGCATGTGATAGAAAAGGAGAGAAATATCGCCTGTCCTTAGCTATTTCATTGCGTTTCCTTCCATTACGCCTTTAGCACTCTCTGATTGGCGGATAATATTTCCGGTAATATTACCAGCCAATGAGAGCAGAAAATTGTTTTTAAGTGAGAAAAAATTCCATTCTTTCATTGGGTTAACTACCCAACCCTGGTAATTTAGAGTTTATGGAAATAAATGAGAACGCGTAGAATATAATCGATTGTACGTGCAGAAACGTTTTGTATATGGCGCGTGCATTTTAAAAAGACAGAGATTTCAGATTATAAATATTCAGCGTCTTTTGGGGTTAAGTGAAACTGACCTCTAAAGCAGCACCAACTTGTCTGCTGAGCATTTCAGCATGCAATAGAGACACCACGGATAGTCCACCACCATTATTTCCCTGCTCCTCGTAGCTTGGTCGTCTACAACTTATTCTGTCGCGCTCATTTTGCACCGCTGAAAATAAAAAACGGTTCATTTAGAACTTAGAAATCGTAGTTTTTTTACTATTATTATTATTTTTTCTTATTATTATTCTATTTTTCTTACTGTTAATCTTCCCTTCTTACTTTTATTCTTCTCCTCTTACTGTTATTTTTTTATTTGATTATAATGGCTCATGAACGAATTTTCTGCAATTATTGTGCGAGAAGCATGACTATTCCTGAAATCTTATTTGACATAAAACCATTTACCATAAATTTCATTTGACAAAAAATCTATTTGGTATAAAAAACATTTAATTTGAAATTTATTTGACATACATTTCATTAAACATACAATTTATATTGCATAAATAGCATTTAATATGATATCCATTTGATATATATTTCATTAGACATACAATTTATGTAACATATATGTCATTTGACATAGAATTAATTCAACATATATTTTATTTGATATGAAAATCATTTAGCATAATTTATATTTAACGTAAAAATACAATTGACTTGTATTTTATTTCACATAAAAATCGCTTGACATATAATTCAATTGACATAAGTTTTATTTGATAGAAAATTAATTTGAGGTAAAATTTGTTTAACATATACGTCATTTGACATAATATACATTTAATAAATTTTATTTTGTCCTGAAATTCATTTGTCATAAATTTCATGTGACATAAATTTCACTTGACATAAATTTCACTTGACATAAATTTCATTTAATATAAATGTCATTTAATATAATTCTCATTTAACATAAATTTCATTTTACATAAAGTTCATTTAACATAAAAGACAGTTAACATAATTTTCATTTGTCATAAAAGTCATTTGACATAAAATAAATTTGACATAAATGTCATTCAACAAAATTCTCATTTGACATAAAAATCATTTTACACAAATTACATTTTACATAAAAATATCGGCGCGAATTTTGAAAGTAACCAATTAGATATTATCAACAACATTGTGATTCGCCAATTTTGAAATATATTTTCATGTCAAATGATCTTTATGTAAAATGAAATCTATGGCAACTGAATTTTATGTTAAATGAGAATTATGTATAATGACTTATCCGTCAAATGAAAATATCAAGTGAACTTTATGTCAAATGAGAATTATGTTAAATGGGATTTATACCAAATGAAATTTATATCAATTTAATTTTATGTTAAATAATAATTATGTTAATGATATTCACGTCAAATTAAATTTATGTCAAGCGAATTTTATGTCTAATGATATTTATGTCAAGTGGATTTTGTGTCAAATGAGAAATACGTTAAATGACATTTATGCCAAGTGAAATTGATGTCAAATGAATTTTATGTCAAATGAATTTTATAACAAATAAAATTTACGTTAACCCGTTGCCTATTTGCGACCCAACGTTGAATCGTGAAAAAATATGGCCCAGACTGTTACGGCGCCCTCGACCTCCACTCGTGTCACAAAAATCATCGTAAAGAAATTGGCTGCCTTTATTCTCGTGTTACTTACGATATTTTTTATTCCTAATGCACAAAAGCGGCGATTTCAGTTAGCAGACGACAGGGAGTAAAAGTCATTCACTTGTTCGATTTGTATGAAAATGGCGGCCGTCTTCTCCCTTGGGCAAGAAAAATGCATGTGAACAGCTAATTTTCTTGCCCTTGGGAGAACACGGCCGCCATTTTCATACGATCGAAGAAATGAATGACTTTCCTCCCTGTCGACTGCTATCAGAAAGCGCCGTTTTTGTGCATGTGGGATAAAAATTCTTTTATATCATTATTCACACACTATAGTGTTCAATGATACCAGATTAAGTAATAAATAAATAATTATTTATTATTTTTAAGTAGGTAATATAATAATTTAAATACAAGTAAAATTTCTAAAAAAAAATTTTTTTTATTTACTTACATTTGGTATATAAGGGTTTTTCGATTTTAATTTATTTCAGTATCTAGGGGTATTTTAAGTCGCTGAATTCGAATTTCATATTCATTTTTAGAAATTCAAAATGGAGGATCCAAAATGGCGGACACAATTTTTAAAATTTATTTCGATTTTCATCAATTTCAGTATCTAGGGGTATTTTGGGTCGCTGAATTCAAATTTCATATTCATTTTTACAAATTCTGTTTTAAATTGAAAAATCTTGTCCGCCATATTGGATCCGCAATTTTGAATTTTTTTATGACGTATTTGAATTCAGCGACCTCAGAAACCCTTGCATACTAATTTTTATAAATATCTGTTAAAAATTGAAAAATTTTGTCCGCCATATTGGATCCGCCATTTTGAATTTTATTTTTTACGTCATATTTGAATTCAGCGACCCCAAAAACCCTTGTATACTAAGATTCATAAAAATTCATCGACCAGATTTTGCTGGCCATTTTGGGCCACTTATATGAATATTTTGTCAAACATAGGGAAGGGGTTAAATGAATTTTATGTCGAAAGAAATGTATGTTAAATGATTTTTATGTCAAAAGAAATTTATATTACATAAATTGTATGTCAAATGGGAATTAAGTTATCTGAGTTTTATGTAACATAATATTTCTGTTAAATGAATTCTATGACAAATGATATTTATGTTAAATGGTTTTTGTGTGCAATGAAATTTATGACAAACAATGTTCATATTATGTGAATTTTAAGTTAAGTAGTTTTATATCAAATAACTATTTGGTCAAAAAAGATTTCGGGAATAAGCATGCACCTCTTATTGTGCATTGGCCTTATTAAGAACGAATTTTCTGCAATTATTGTGTATTGGCCTTAAAATATGCTAGCGACAACTACGTGAATTCTTCTCAACCAACTTAATCTCGAAATAAGTGATATTTGTTTTTTTTTGATAAAAGGCCTACGCAGAATGAAACATATTAATTTTATAGATTACTTTTTACATGAGAGGAAAAAAATATAAATATCTTCCGTCCTTCTCTAGAAAAAGGCAAATTATATTTTTTCCTTCTTTCTCTCATGTAAAAACTAAAATATATTCAGAAGTTTTATTCTGCGTAGACCTTATTTTAGTTAAGAAGTTATTGTGCATTGACCTTAGCGTTTGAAATTGACACTAGCGACAGCTACGTGAATTTTGCCCAACTGAATTAATCTAAAAGTGATATTTTTCCTTTTTTGAAAAATTAGTTTGTTTTACTTTAGAATAATTCGTGTAAAGGTCTCTTTAATATAACACTGGTTTACGGTGACATTGTCAATCGAACAAAACATTTGTAATTATAACAGTAGGTGTTTTTTGAGTAAGAAAATCATACACGGAAAAAATTTCGGGCGCGCAGCATTACCTACGCGTACGATTGCAGTGCTAAATGAAAGAACGCCGATGTTCTAAGAGTGAGATATCTGCGTTCTCATTGTGGGAGCTGAGGAGTCCCACAGAGATAAAGTGGAACTACCAAAGGCAGAGCCCAGAGCCCTCTGTATGTGGTGTAGAACAGCTTTTCTGTATACGTAATATATATACTTGTCTAAAGTATATTCTTTCTCAGCTGTGGGACTCTGAGGCTCCCACTCGTGAGAGCGATTAGTTCCCACTCTTGTTCTCCTTATGCACCAGGGATAAGGTAGAACAGCATTACCATAGGTAATACGGATGCGCGCCCGAAATTTTTTCCGTGTATAGTTTTAATTTTTTTCCGTCGTGCAATTTTTCTGTAGCTTCAAATTTTGCATTTTCGAGGTGCGACGTCAGTTAAACTTACCTGTAGGAAAATTAACTTATCAAAATATAATAAATGAGGTATCATTGGAAAGGTTATTAAATTACCTTTCGATCCATAGGTCACAGAATAAAATTCAACAAAAATTGAGAGAGTTACAGTCGATTAAAGATCAAATTTCATGACAATTTTAATGATTTTTAGACATTTGAATAACTTCTTCTATTTTTTTCTACATCAAACAGGAAAAAATGTTTAGGTTTTAAAGGCGAAGTCTACTGTGACAAGGGAAAAAGCAGGCCGATTTTTGCGTATTTTTTTCTAACAAAATATGACTGGTACATTAAATTAAACCGTCATCTTTATTACACGGAGAGAAAAATCAAGCGTTTTTAGTATGGTCAGTTAACCTTATAAGGCTATTCAAGTTCGGTGGGGGGAAATTCAATATGGATGCTAACTGGTGCACCAACATTGTATAGAAACTAGAAAGTGTATGGGATAGAGTCTAATTTTTTAAATATCTCGCTTAAACGAAATTTTTAACCATAAGTTTATTAGGATTTTATGTTTCATTTTTAAAGAACTATTTTTTGCAATAATAAAAATCGATTTTATTTTTTTATTGATTTTATTATTGCAAAAAATAGTTCTTTAAAAATAAAACATAAAATCCTAATAAACTTATGGTTAAAAATTTCGTTTAAGCGAGATATTTAAAAAATTAGACTCTATCCCATACACTTTCTATACAATGTTTGTGCACCAGTTAGCATCCATCTTGAATTTTCCCCCACCCAACTTGAATAGCCTTATTTAATAAAAGAATGCACATGCGCAATAGGCGTAAAATTTCTGCTGTATTTGTATCAATTTCTACGTTATCAGCATAAAAGTTCTACCTTTAAACGCATGGGACGTCAGTATATACTACGATTGCAAGAGATCCATGCTATTTTAGTATATGTTTCATGCAACTAAGGTATAAGGACACGCCTCTTAAGCAGGGCGTTCATACAAAATTACCATAGGAAGTCTCCATACTAAAAACGCTTGATTTTTATCTCCGTGTATATATTCAAGTATTTGTGAAAAAATTTTTAAGTCGAAATATTCAAAATTGCCGTCGTGGCACTCCTTCAAGAGCAAACCCGTCCTTTTTTAGGTGCACAAACAGTGTATATATGAAATCTCACGTCTGGGTGAACAAAAATAAAAAAACAAAATATGGTTGTCATCTACATAGTATTGACTCTCGTCTGACGAAGGATTTTGTTAATAAAAATTTTGGCGCAGAAAAAAAAATTCTTGAAAT